TGTATGTCTGTGTGAAGGTGTTAGATCCTGGAGTTACAGACACTTGTGAGCTGCCATGTGGGTGTTACACTTGAACCCAGGTCCTCTAGAAGAGCAGTCAGTGTTCTTAACCACTGAGCCTTCTCTCCAGCCTAAGACTCCCTTTTCTTAGTTCCCTAATGAGACTTTAAAAAAAAATACTGCCCATTAGCTGGGCAGTGGTGGCACACAACTTTGATCCCAGCACTGGGGAAGCAGAGGCAGGCTGATCTCTAAGGCTAGCCTGGTCTACAGAGAAAGTTTCAAGACAGCCAAGGTTACCCAGAGAAACCTTGTCTCACAAAAACAGACAGACAAACAAAAAGAATGCTGCCCATTGAGGGCTTTGACTTTTTCAGAGCCGCCCAGTTCTTCCATCAGAAAAGTAGAAGCTGATGAAGATGCAGACATCTCTGTCATCCCTTTTAGACCATTCTTGGCACTTCGCAGTCCCTTTTCCTTACCACTCAGCTGACCTTTCTTCCATTCTTCCATATTTGCTGGCACTGTCTTGAGTAGATGTTGACCCTGAGACCATGTGACTTATTTTTGGATTTCAGTGAAGGCTTTTCACCAAGAAAAGTTTTTAAGATTTTAGAAATACTAGTGTTAGATGAAGAATACTTTTAGAAGATGTTTATGTTGTTGGCTGTTAATAACTATCGTTTTTTTTTGGTAAGGTAAATACTAGTAAAGACAATAGCTAGGGACATGAAAATTATAGTGGGGGAACTTCAAGGGTATTAATGTTTTAATAAAAAATGGAAAATCCGTTTTAAGAATTTTGGTTTCTTTTGAGACAGGGTTTCTCCATGTATCCTTGGCTGTCCTGATACTCACTCTGTAGACCAGGCTAGCCTGGAACTCAGAGATTCACCTGTTTCTGCCTCCCAAGTGCTGAGAATAAAGGTGTGCACCACCATCACCCAGCTGTTTTAAAACTTTTAATCTAGGTATTTACAAAAATTATATTTAACTTATCCAAAAATTGGTCTGTTTTCATTTTGTCTTTGTGTTCCCGTTGCTTTGCCCTTATCCTGGCCTTGGCTCAAGTAAAGGTGCTTGCCACTGAGCCAGATAACCTGAGTTTGAAACCCAGAACCTACAATATAGAAGGATAGAACAACTTTCCTCAAGTTGTCCTCTGATTCCCATGTGCCTTTTGTGACACATGTGTATGCACACACTTACAGCACACATATATACACACCTGCAAAACAAATGTTTGTTAAAAAACACAAATCACTTGGTGTTAGAGATGGCTCAGTGACTGTGAACACCTTCTCTTCTTCAGAGGACCCTAGTTTGGTTCCTGCACACATGCTGAGCAGCTCACAACTGCCTGTAACTAGACAGTGATTCTCAAAGTCTCCACCCTTGGGGAGGTTGACGGACCCTTTTTAGGGGTCACCTCAGACCATCAGAAAACATGGATGTTTACATTATGAATCATAATAGTAGCAAAATTATAGTATAAATAGCAATGAAAATAGTTTTATGTTTGGAGGTCACTACAACATGAACTGTATGAAAGGATTGTAGCATTAAGAAGGTTGAGATCCCCTGCTCTAGAGGATCTGATACCCTCTTATGTCCCCTCCTATATTAATATTCTCTTTCTCTCTCTGTCATATACACACATACTTAACTTAAAAACAGAAAAGTGAGTTTGTTAAATTTTAGAGCTCATGTTCTTTTTTTATTTTATTTTATGTGTCTGTTTTGCTTGTATATGTTCTGAGTGCCAAGTGCATGCCTGGTGTCCATGGGCCAAAAGAGATCATTAGATTCACTGGCACAGGTGTTGCAGATGCTTGTGAGCACCCAAGTCGGCACTTGGGATCCAACCTGAGTTCTGTGGAGGAACAAACATTTGTCTTATCTACTGAGCTATGTCTCCGGCCCCATTTTTATTTTATTTTTTTGAAACAGGGTCTCACTATGTAGTCCTGACTGGCCTCAAACTCTGTGTAGATCAGGCCAGCCTTGAGAATTCACCTGTCTCTTTCTTCAGAGTGTTAGGATTAAAGCTGTGTGACACCATGCCCAGCAGAACTCATGTTCTTGAACATGATGTGTTAGTCTAATTTGACAAGGCCTGTAGAGCATGCTTCTTTTATTTTATTTTTTTTTCATTTTTATTTATTTATTTTTTTCTATTATCAGCTTGATACAGTACAAATTCTTATCCTAATAGTGAAATGTTTCACTGAGGTTTGCCCGGTGATTGAGTAAAACCAAAACTTATAATCCACAGTCATCCTAGGGTCCCCCCTGCTATATAGCCTCCCTGGTTCTGTGGGTTGCAGTCTGATTGTTCTTTGCTTTATATCTAGTATCCACTTATGAGTGAGTACATACCATGTTTGTCCTTCTGGGTCTGGGTTACCTCACTCAAGATGATATTTTCTAGTTCCATCCATATACCTGCATGCTTCTTTTATTAATTACAGAATTACACCTGGGACTTTTACTGATCCTTCCCCCTTCAGGTGCTCTGGGGAATCTGAGAAGCTTTTAGGTTTCCCATTGCTGCCGCTCTCTCGTGGTTTTTTGCCCCAAACTGATCATCTATAACCTTTTTCAGACTCCACATCTTGTTAACCTCAATGAAGACCCACTAATGTCGGAGTGTCTGCTTTATTATATCAAAGATGGGATTACAAGGTATATTTGCTTCCAGTTTGAGTCATATTTAATATTTTCTTTTCTTCTAGATAATTGATAACTAAAGGGAAATGTCCAAAAAATTATAATAATTTGCTATTTCTCCTTTCTGGAATGATTATGAACTTACCTTCAAGTTGTAAGTGGAACTAGTTAGCCTATAACTACCTCTAGAAGAACCTGAATGAAAATTGCCCTGTAATAACACAGATGGGTTCATTAGAGAACTTGGTTTGCCCTGTTTTGTTATGGTGTGTAAATTACATCAGTGTGTTGATCACGTAAGAAGGTTCATCATACTTGAGAATAGAATTTGTAGTTGAAAGTGTCTGATATAAAGTAGTGCATTTTTATATATATCAAAGGATGTTATTTGGGAGAAAGCAGTTCATTGTTTATAAGTGCTTTTTGTGTCTGAATTTCCCTGGGAAACACTCTCCCTTGTGTTCAGGGTTGGCCAAGCAGATGCTGAGCGGCGCCAGGACATAGTGCTGAGTGGGGCTCACATTAAAGAAGAGCATTGTATCTTTCGGAGTGAGAGAAACAACTCTGGGGAAGGTGAGGGTTTTGTGTTTTCATTTCTCAAGCACCTTTTTCCTCTGCGTATTCTAAATCCTTCAGGCTTGGGAGTCCCTATCTTTGTTAGTGGAATTTTTTTTGTCAATAAAATATTGAAAAACGAAGAAACCTGGGATGTTTATAAATGCAAGGATAGACATTGCTACTTAACATGAAAACAGCATGAACAAAAGGAGCCCTTTTGTTACTGCCAAGAACTGAGCAGGATGTAGGCAATTGGGTTTGGTCTTGAATGTTAACTATTTAATAGAAAAGTAAGAGAAAAGTAACTATTCTAGAAAATGGGAGAATTGAAAAACCTTTAATATTAGCCCAGTAGAATTCATGTTTATCTTAAAGGGAAGAAAAAGTCAATCTTGTGTGAGTCCCCACCACAGCCTAGGTGATTAACTGGACAGCAGCTGGCTAATGGCTGTTTTGTGCTGGTCGCTACCTTCTTCACTCTCCACCAGAATGTTAGCTTTTATTTGTGTGTCATACTTAGGATTTCTGCTGTATTGTATTTTGTCAGAATTAATATTTTCTATCTTCTTTTAAGGCTTATGAAATTTAGTTAAATGTTTTTATCCAAGCCACAGCTCCCAATAAGCTTCCTATACTGAAATTAGTTCTGGTATCTTGAAACAAACAAACAAAAACAGCCAAACCCCACACAAACAAATAAAAAAACTGCCTAATAAACACTTTAGTTGTTGGTTGCAAGGGTCTATTCTAGTTCCCGTGAGTCCTGACGGTGAACTACTTTTTATTGTTTGATGGCACTAGTTTACGATAATAACATCAGTCTGTCTTCTTCCTAGTTATCGTGACTCTAGAGCCGTGTGAGCGCTCAGAGACCTATGTGAATGGCAAGAGGGTGGCCCAGCCTGTCCAGCTGCGCTCAGGTGAGGCTGAGAGGTCTCAAGTCTTCAGCAATGTACATATGACTTGTGGGGGCAACTCAGACTTTGGCTCTTTATTTAAAGGCGAAAGTTACCCTGGAATTCATGTTTTTGTAAAACTACAAATCTTGCTTTTGTTGTTGTTTGCTTGTTGTTTGTTTTTGTTGTTGTTGAGACAGGGTCTCACTAAGTAGCCCTGGTTGGCCTGGAATTCACTGTGTAGACCATGTTGGCCTCACAGAGATTTTCCAATCTATGCTTCCTGAGTGCTGGGATAAAATGGGTGGACCATCACACCCAGCTGAGTATCTGTCTTCTTATATTATGAGAGTCAAATTATATTTCATTTTTTTAGATAGGTTTTCACTGTGTAGCTTGGGATGGCCTCAAAGTTGTAAAGCTTTGGCCTCCTGAGTGCTAGGATTGTAGGCATACACCACCTTGCCTGGTAAGACATTTGAAAAAACAGATCCTATTCATTAAAAATGAATTCCTTGGAACTGGGGCTGTAGCTGAGTGCTAGAGCAAATTTGCTGACAAAAAAATAATCTTTAGGCTGGAAGTGTTGGATATCAGTTCCTCTGAAGGTCAAGAAACTTCAATAGATGACAGCTAGACTTTTGAATGGAAAGCAACTTCCTTGCTATTAGGAAGCTTCTTACTATCCTAGCTTATTGTTAGAATAAACAGAACAAATGACAGCTAGAACCTCATTATTTGCAGACTATGGCTGTCCCCCGAAAAGCCAACATTAAATATGTCTTAAAGACAATTTACTTTATTAGTATTTCTCCTTTCCTCCCTGCCTTCCTTTCTTTCCTCAGGACTGAACCCAGAGCCTTTGTAGGCTAGGTAACCCCTGTCCCCTCTGAACTACGGTTATCTGTAGGCGGTGTCTTGCTGAGCTATGCAAACTGGATTTGACTCACAGCACTGCAAAACAAATTCTTTTCCCCATTTCTGTTTTGTTCTAGGCAACCGTATTATCATGGGTAAAAACCACGTTTTTCGTTTCAACCACCCTGAACAAGCACGAGCTGAGCGGGAGAAGACTCCCTCTGCTGAGACCCCCTCTGAGCCTGTGGACTGGACATTTGCACAGAGAGAGCTTCTAGAAAAACAAGGAATTGATATGAAACAGGAGATGGAAAAAAGGTAATCCATTAGTGTTAGGCAGCCTGTGTACTTTTACAACAGCTTGGTTGTACTGTTACTTCGAAACGTGTGTACTTTTACAACAGCTTGGTGATTTCACAACTTACTCTTTTTTGGTATTTTGTTTCTGTTTGTTTTTCTTCTAGGCTACAGGAAATGGAGATCCTATACAAAAAGGAGAAGGAGGAAGCTGATCTTCTTTTGGAGCAGCAGAGACTGGTAGGAGTCTGTCCTGAATCTGCAGCTATTGGGAAGGGCATTTGCTCTCACACCTGCTAGCAGGCTCTCATTGGTACCACCCATTCACTGTCATTGCTTAATGAACTATCATATATCTTCTGGCAACCTTAGTCTGGGAAAACATCTATAGAGGTACTATTTTGTACCTTTTATTTCTTAAAATTAGATCTTCTGTCATAGTCAAGGGCTTTTTGAAGAAATAATGAGAGCTTTTATGATACCTTTGCCCTTTGGTAGTGCTTTTTGAGTATGTTCCATCAGTGGTCTTTTGAATGATAATAGCTGAATATTGAATTTGGTGGGAGTTTGCCTTGGTTTTGTTTCTGGCCACTTGATAGTACTAATTCTCTACTCTTAGGCTGACATGGGGATTGTTCTTGTGCTGGGCAGATTGGGGTTTTTTTTTTTTTTGTTTGTTTGTTTTGTTGTTTGTTTTTCAAGTTAAACTGTGTCTAAAAGTGTTGCTGCACAATTGCATGTTTTAATCCTTTTCTGTTCCCCTGCATGGAGTCTGAATTCTCAGTAAGGTTCTCAGTGGCTTTTGTGGTAATAGTGTAATGGGGAGCTGCACACCCATCTCAGACAGGAGAGAGACGCTCCTGACTCTGGGTTGAGAAAGGTTTTGGATAAGCAGTTGGAAAGTCATTGACCATGCTAGCTATAATGGGTTAGGATTTTATGATGATAATTGGTTTCCCAGGTTTTATAAAAATGTCTTATGAATAAATTCTTCTTAGATTTTAATATTAAAGCCAGCCATAAAGCCCTGATAGTAAGAAGTTTCATAATGCTGGATGTTGTGGTACATGCCTTCAATCCCAGCACTTGGGAGGGTGAGGCAGGAGGATCTCTTAAATTCATGGCCAGCCTTGTCTTAGTGAATTCCAGGACTTCCAGAGCTACAACAAGGGGGCACTAATGAGAAATCAGGGAGAAGGATCCTGGATTCTTCCCTTAACATGAAATACAACATATAAGTTACAGCCTTATACTACACTCTGTTCTGTTGGAGAACTATTGCATTGCGGTCTGTGAAAGCCAAGATATTAAGTAGAAGCAGCCTTTATCAGAGCACTTGGTTCTTGGCAGTGGGTTAAACCAGCTAAATTATTATCTTTAAAATTATAGTGAAGCCCTCAAGAATATGGATTGGAAGAATAAATTAAGTGTTTGACACAAGATAATATCAATGTTACAGGGAAAGTATCTCTAAGTAGCTTACCTGGCTTTGGTTTTAATGGTTAGGGCTTGAAAAGTTTGTGACACATGAAGGAGTCTTTTATCATAATTATGTAGTATAACCTAATAACATTCCTCTGATGGTCTGTGAGACATCAAAGAGGAAAGGTGTAATTAAGCACTATTTATTAACAGTAGTGTCTCATATTTGAATGTATGTTGCTTTGTAATTTACAAAGAGCTTTAACATCTATCATTTTGCTTGATTCTTGTACCAGCTCTGTTTGGTAGATGTGTATGTAAATGAAATATATAGTATTGCCCTTAGTTTATAGTTAAGGCTGAAAACAATGTTGTTGTACATACATACATTTTAAAAATTTGCTTCAGTAGTGGCCTTACATACCTGTTAAATCATGTATCTAAACCTTACACTTGAGTCTTCTAACTTACGTCAGAGCCTCTCAATCACTGGAAATCCTTTTAAAATATAGGTAGTGATTGAGGTCTGTGGGTGGGATCTGCAATTCTGAGTTTCTCAGAAGTTCCCAGGTGATAATGATGCCAGTGGCCTTGGGAACACACTTGAGTAAGTAGGCATTAAATAATAACTTTGTCTCCTGCTCTCCATCGCCAAAAGTTGATGATTGTTTCATGCCTTGACATAAAAACCCTGATGGAGCCCAACATTCTGTTGCACAACTGAAATCCAGTTTCTCCAAGGCTGAGGCAAGAGGAGCATGAGTTTATAATAAAGTTTGCAAAGCTCAGCAAGACACCGCCTACAGATAACTGTAGTTCAGAGGGGACAGGGGTTACCTAGCCTACAAAGGCTCTGGGTTCAGTCCTGAGGAAAGAAAGGAAGGCAGGGAGGAAAGGAGAAAGAAATACTAATAAAGTAAATTGTCTTTAAGACATATTTAATGTTGGTTTTTCGGGGGACAGCCATAGTCTGCAAATAATGAGGTTCTAGCTGTCATTTGTTCTGTTTATTCTAACGGTAAGCTAGGATAGTAAGAAGCTTCCTAATAGCAAGGAAGTTGCTTTCCATTCAAAAGTCTAGCTGTCATCTATTGAAGTTTCTTGACCTTCAGAGGAACTGATATCCAACACTTTCAGCCTAAAGATTATTTACCAGTAACGATACTGGTGGAAAATGTGGTTTTTATAATTCTGTGTTGGGCAACCATATGTGCCTTAGAAAGATTCAGAGGATATGAAGTAATTTCTGTTTTCACTAAATATTTATTAAAATACTCATAAATTATTTTTGAATAACAATTATCATCAAATATTTAGTACTATAATTTTTAATATAGTGACATTAAAAATTGGAATTCAGAGTCCACAGGATGGCTCAGTGGGTAAAGGTGCTTGCCATCAAACCTAGTGAGCTGAATTTCATCTCTGGAACCCACATGGTAGAAGGAGAAAATTGATTCCTGCCATTGTTCTCTGACATCACACATGCACCATGGCATGAGCAGCCTCTCAAATGCACACAATACATGTACATGCATGCAAATATATTTCTTAAGCTTCTAAAATTGGAATTCATGAATTTCTGTAATGCCAGCTCCCCAAATTCACTCACTCTTGTTGTGAGCATTCCCTTACAGTCAGTGCTCTGTAGACACCTGTGTGTCTTTCTTCCTTGCACTTTGACGACTTTCCTGTCTCTTCTCTCTCTCATTTGCATATATTCACTTGTGGACTTTTCAGCAGGCCAACTATGCACTTGAAATATATAATATATAATGAAAGTGGATGAGTCATTTAGTGACGGGAAAATTATGACTGCTTGATTTTAATTTTTTGAATTTATATAGACTTTTATATTTCATTTTAGAGTTTAAAGGTATTTTTTATTTCTCAAGTCTGACACTTAAGTAATGATTAGAATAGTTGTCCTTTCCTAAATTCAGTAATATTCACTTTATCCCTAAGCAATTATAAAAGAAAAAAGTAATAGTTCTGTGGAAGATCAAAGGCAATTTGTGTTCTATAAAACTGAGTTTAAGCCATGCGGCACGCACCTTTAATCCCAGCCCTTGGGAGGCAGAACCAGTGGGTCTCTGTGAGTTCGAAGCCAGCCTGGTTTACAGAGTGAGATCCAGAACAGGCACTGAAACTACACAGAGAAACCCTGTCTTGAAACACACACACACACACACACACACACCGCCAAAAAAAAAAAAAAAAAAAAAAAAAAAAAAAAAAACCCAAACTGAGTTTATATGTATATTTGGGGGAAAGCACTCAAGCCAGACATGCTTTTTACTCTTCTCTATTGATGTCTTGAGGTTGGAAGATGGCTCCCTCAGTAAAGTACTGTTGCACCAGCGTAAAGACCTGAGTTCAGACCCTAGCCTAGAGAGGGGCAGAGACAGGGAGTTCTGTCTCTAAGGCTCACTGGCTGGCCAGCCTAGCTGAACTCATGAGCTCAGAGAATTCACCTTGGACCTTCACACATGTAAAACACACACACATACACACACACACACACACACACACACACACACACACACACACACACGATTAGCCTTCTGCTTTTCTCATTTGTGGTGCTGGGGATTGAGCCTGGGGCCTTGCCCATGTTAGGAAAGCACTCTGTCACTAAAATGTACTGAAAACTCCCACCACTCTGCTTTTTTAAACTAAACAAGAGAGGAGGGGACAAGAGGATGGCACAATGAGTAAAATATTTGCTGTGCAAGCCCGAGGGCTTCTTGTGTGTGGATCTCCAGCACACATGTAAAACCCAGGCATGGAGGCATGGATCTAGCTAAACTGGGGGAGGAGAGCCAGGCGGATTCTGGGGTCTCGTAGCCACCCAGTTTAGTCCAAATGGCCTCATTGGGTACCAGGCATTCGTATGGTACACGGACATACGTGAAACTGTTGTAAAGCCAGTTCACTATTTTAAGCCTAAGTTTAATTTTTTCCTTGCTTTTGAAAAGAAATAATGCTGCAGCTCAGATGACTGAAAAGACAGTTGAAGTGCATCCATTTTATATGTGCAGACTCTATTCTTTGTGTTTATTGGCAGCATTGTCACTTAAAAGTAATAGTCCCCAAGTGGATGTAAATCACATGGGTTTTCTAAGTCGAAAACATGAATTGTTTTGTCTGTAGAATTTTTGTTGGTTGGTTTTTTTGGGGGACAATCTTATACTAAACCCAGTGTGTCCTGGGACTTGTAGCAATCATCCAGTCTCAGACTCCCATGTGCTAAGACTATAGGTGTAGGCTCCCAAGCCTAGCTTCAGGAACACCCTGTTATTCTAGAGTTGTAGAGTGCTTGCCTAGCAGGTACAAGGGCCAAGCATCCTCTCCCAAGGAAACAGGTTTAAAATACACTATTACTTAGGAATTTTAAAATTATCTTTAATGAAAGACTGTACCTCACTTAGTTACTTTTTATTCTGGTAACTTCTCAAAATTTTAGAGGGAGGTTATTATTGGTTTCATTGTATAAAAAATGGATAACCTGTTATCCTTTTTTTTTTTTAAATGCTTGTTCTCAGAGTAACAAACCTTAATGTACAAATGAAGTGGATTAATTTACTATGCAAAAGAAAATGGCAAGTCTAGTATCTGCTTCTAGAAAGACCAGTTTCAAAATCCTCCCATCCAACAGGAAAGGGAATTTGGTTGATAAGAACCTTATATGTTCTGCAAAAAGGAGTTCTTAGCACTTTTAACATCATCTCTGTTCGCTTCTTTCTCTACTTTCTATCTAACTTTTTTCTAGGGTTGCTCATTTTAGTAAAGCTAAACCAAACTTGGCATCCTGCAGT